AGTGTGTGAACTGAATGCAATAGCTTGATGAAAGTCGAAGATTTGCAACCCATGACAAAGTCAAGTCCATAAAAGATGGTATAACCATATTTGCATGTTTTCAAAGACCATGTAATGTAAAGAAGGATTATGAGCCAAAAGAAATCCAAACTCTCTCTGTTAGCTCCACTTTCACTTGTCAATTCTCTTTGAATGATTTTGTACTTTACATTATGTCAAACTTCCATTTTCTCTAGCTTCCTCAAATTTTGGGTAACATTAGAATAATTCTATCTCCTACGCGTTTTGAGAGATTCCTTTACAAGTTGGAACTACTAATCTGCAATGTCTATATGCTTATGATGATCAATCTTTAAAAAGAAAGTGGTTTTCAGCAATACACGTAATTTAGTAACATTAATTTATTAATCCTCTCCACCTGCCGTCATATGAACTATGAAGAAAGAAAGAAAGAATTAGTTTTCAAATGATAACATTAATTAATTGACAAACTTTAATGAGTGTCTTTACTGTTATATTGTTAAGTTTAGGGGAAAAATATTTAATGTAAAATTTTCGTTAAATTAATTTTTATTTTTTATTTCCAACAATTATTAGCTGGTCCCATTCTTATATATTATCAGAACAAGAAAAGTATGTTGTATCATGTTTACTGTCAATGTGTGCCACGTCTGTTTGCAAGTATCATTACTGTCCTGCGCTTTAATTATATTTTAAATTTTATAGTCTAAGAATACATTCAAAGGTACATAAAAAAGAAAAAAAAAAGTATCTTAACTTTTTGCTGTGTTTAATTTGCCGGGATAAAATTACGGAGTAAAGTGAAAATCTTGCAATAGTACTATCATGAATTTTAAAATTGAACTCAAGATTATATATTTAACGAATTCAGGTTTTCTCCATTCACACCGACACGTATATATTATTACTATTATTTACTTTGAGAGCACATAAATATTTTCTTGATTAATATATTTTTTTCTATTTCAAATACATATATTGAGTAATTGTGTTAAAGATTAATGAAGAAGTTTTTGTTTTCTGAAAAGAAGTAACAAGAACAATAATCAATTGCGGTATTTTAGTATTGGAAAATTGCTCATGCAATTTCAAGTAGAAAATAAATGTTAGATAAAATTTTTCTAAGAATTATGATTTTAGAGTTTTAATTAATTGCAAAAATAAATTTATTTGATAATTTTTTTTATTTTAATATCTTTTAATTCTTTGTATAAACTAATTCAACGAACTTATGAAAATAAGTTAATTTATACGTAACTTTTTATAGAGTTGCAATTAATTAATTAATTTTTATTTCATACAATTGAATATGTTATTTATGTCTATATTTATTAACTAATCTTACAAAAACACTTTCAATTCAATTAATGAATTTATAATTTTTGAATTAGCTTATATATTAATATTACACGACAGTATACATAAGAGGGTGGAGCCGTGAAGATGTGAAAAACAAAAAGAAAAAGGCAAGGCTTGCAATAGCTACACGGAGGATACCTTCATTTGCTCAATATCACCGCCAACGCTGAACTCTATCAATATTTGCTCAAAAACCCATTTTAAATTATTAATTAAGTCCAAACAATTTACTTCATTAACACACCCACCATCAAATATCACTTTAAACAACTTTATGAATTTAAAAATTTACCTTTAATTTTATTTATGAAAAAACAAACTAATGTTTTTTTTTTTTTTTAATGGATTGTACATAGAGCCATTTTACTCATGCAAGAACTACTTTATATTAGTTCATCATGTTCCTAATACCTATATTTAAACCTAAAGAAAATTTTAAATTACTTAATTTTTACATTTATTAAATAACAATTCTATTTGAGCTCACTTAGTGTTCAGTTTATTTTAAGAGAGACTTTATTTTTATTAGTTTAAATTAGAGAGTAATATAGTGAGTCTTATTATTATTATTATTATTAATATACGTGACTTTTTATTTTATAAATCAATAATAAATAATTTTTTTAGCTTTAATAACTTTATATATTCTCGGATTGGTTGTTTGTGGTCCATGTTCTGAACAAGTTTTGAAGGAAATTGTAATCTTAGCTTTCAAATAAGATTTGCTGGCTGTAATGATGTAACGTAGACTATCGTATATATATCTTCGTATTTAAGACGTATTTTATGATTGGTTTTAGAGAGTCTTACCTTCTTAACCAAGCCTTAATATATAACTCTTCTGGAGCATCGATTAAGGATGCATCAGGATTAATAATTATCAATCAGCAAAAACTATATATTATGTCTCATTATTATTATTATTATTATTATTATATTGTTATGCAGAGAATATGGTGTGTACATAAATTTTTATAGGAGTTGTGTTTTATTGATTAGTTATTTTACGTTATTTATAACATTAATTCATAAATTTGGTTTATTAAATTAAATATGTTTGATAAATAAATTTATCTCACTATTTTATATATAGCATAATTTTATATATATTACTTAAATTAAAGTATGAGCTCATATTATATATTATTATTAATTTATCTATATTTTAATAATTTGTTCCTTTACTATATCTGTTACTCACTTGTTTTTTTTATTATGCCATTTATTTTAATTATTACATTCATTGTACTATTTTAATTTTTAATTAAATATTTGGTATTCAATAAAATATAAAAAATAAAATTAAGTAAAACTTAAAGCTATAATTATTTAAAATGATAAACACAATATACTTTTTAAAATTTCTTTCATATTATCTTTGTTATTTAACAGATAACATTTTAACACTCTTCCTCTCAAAAGTGAAAAGAATAGAACTAATATTTAATCATCTATAATATTAATAAAATAAATATTTTGTTTTGATATTTATTTTTTATTTTTATTTTTTACTCCTCAATTATTTGTTTACTTTTTTACACTTTAACTAATTTATTTAATTGTCTCAGTATTCTAAAGTTAATGACACATTTTTTAATTATTATTTTTATGATAAGACACAGAGTGTCTGTATAAAGTTATTGTTTTTATTGTCACATGTCAAGTGAAGCATTTTAGATTATATAATATAATAATAATAATATTATATTCAAGATACGTTATACTTAAAAACATTTTATACAAACACATAATATATGACGATGTTTGATTTTTTATTTCATGTATGATCACATTACCTTTATTTCTCTACATGTCTATGTTTTTAAGTTTATATTATCTTAATGTATAATATGATGTAGCTTGGAACAGGACTTACTCATACCATTTTAAACAAGTTTTAATTCTTTATATGCATTCCTTCCCAACCAATTATGAATATGAGAAGAAATTAAAATTAGTTTATGTGATTTTTTTTCCCAAAAATTAATATAAGATCAAAATTGTAAAGCAGTGAAACACCGTAGACCAGTCTTTGTCATAAACCTATCTCTGTCTCCCCACTAACAAATTAAGCTCAACCTTTTCACCAAACAAGGTCCCAAAAGTGTTCTCCAAATGACTGCTGTTAAATGTAGTGTGTAAAAGTCTTTGCTGACCCCTAAAAAATTCTATTTCTTTTGCCTTTTGCAGCATGTGTTACCAAAAACAAAAGCTAACAAAGTTAAACCCGACAACTTATTGTAACCCCCTTATGACTTTTGCTTCCATTGTGGGTGATAGTTCTTTTTTTGCAGTATTGTTGCTATTGATTCAATTTGATTATGGTGCAAACCCATGTTAGTTTATTTCTTTATGTGGCAAATGTGAAATGTCAATGGTGATCGCAATCGACAAAACTTCAAATTCGTAGCTATACAAATGGTATATTCCCTATTGCAAAATTGTAATTGTTATTTTTTTGAGGCGGTTTCAAACTATCATAAATTTAATTCCAAAGATAAAACTACAAAAATTATACTCAATTATACTCTTCATATTGCAAAGCCTCAATTGTACATGTTGTTTCTTACAAAGACGGAGATGAAGAACGTAATTAACAAAGGATGAATAGGAAATCATATGATTGAAAAATATCAAGGTTTTAAATTGTATTATAATTACAAAAGTTGTTTGTATAAAGGATTCAATACGTCAACCAAGTTAAAAAGGGGTTATACCTTTTTATTAAAAAAATTGCAATGTAATTATAATTATAATTATAATTTCGTCACAGTCTTTGATATACATAAGATTGCGGATAAATAAATATGACTAATGCAATCGTAATTGTTGACTTTCTTTTGTGTATGTAATTAAAAATTTCATCGATTTTATTTCATTAGTTTTTTTATATTACAAAAAAATTACAAATAAATCACAAAATACATTTTTAATATAGTAATAATTGTAATATTTTGGTGATTTGATATATGTTGAAAATCTCACATCATTTATAAATATGATTAAAATAGTATATATAAGTGATAAAGAGTAATTTTTACGATTTTGTAAGATTGAGTTCTTAATTTATTTTTTAAAGATGATATTAGAATTTTAAGTATGTTAAAAATCTCAAATTAACTAATGAGATAATATAAAATGAAATGACTCATAAAAAAATTATGAATAAATATAACAAATATGACTATAATTACTGTTATTAATTATTATTTTATTAAAAAGTTTACAAATAAATATTATTTATGCATTCATAATTGCAATCAGATTGTAATAACTCTAAAAATAACTCCAAAACTCTTAATGACGGGTCATTTTTAAACAAGTATGATTAATAATTTTGTATTGACTGAATTGATAGTGAAAGGACAACTACATCTTACAAATATTTTGGATTATCACAAAATTTAAGAATAGAAAAAAAAGCATACATTTAAATTCTTTTTCCCCCATTTTTATACAGTAAAAACTAAAGTTTCATTTGATTGATAATAAAGACTCCAAAGTTTCCAGTATGACCAAGTATGCCATGTCCAACATCAACAAATCAACACCTTTGCACTACCATATACATATATATCTTTTCCCTTTATCGTAAGGTGAAAAGTTGAGGAACAAAAAAGTAGTGAATAATATACTAAATAAGATATGAGGTTCTGTTTAAATCCTGATTTACCGTTTATTCTTTGCAACAACTTACAAGCACAATACAAGTAAGCAGTGGGGAGTAAAAAAAAAAAAAAAAAAAAAAAAAAAAAAAAAAAAAAAAAATCAAAACAACCCATAGGCCCAAGATTCTGAATCCATGATCACTTTTGGGTACTGATTTAGAGGAGCGTCAAACACTTGGTTTCTGTCACCATCATCATCATCATTAATAAGCCAATTCAAACTTCTAATAAAGTCATCATCCCACAAGGTCATGCTGCTATTGTTATTGTCAATATTATTATCATTGTAATCATCAAAATCTGGTAGCAGCAGGTCTTCAAGGAAGTTGGATGAATTTGAATAAGAAGATGACGTTGTTGAAGATGATGTTGTAGTAGTGGTTGGTGAAGTGGAGGGAGCAGAGGGTACTAGAATCTCATTTGGTTCTATTATGGGAACTTCATCAGTGCAGAACTCATTCATTAGTTCCATTGAGTCAAATAGAGGTGTCATGATTTGCTCTTCCTCCTTAGCTTCAGTGATGGTTGATGATTCAATTGAAGTCTCTGGCTTCTCTTGCTCCTTGTTTTGATCATTTTGAGATTCAAATTTCGGGTCTTTCTCAAGTGGGAAAGATTGTTGCTGATGTTGTTCTTGCATTGGTTGATGGGGTTGTTCATCTGGTTGAGTTTGTTCAGTTGTGTTGGAAAGTGACTTGTGTGTAACAGGGTCAATTCCCATTTTCTTGAGCTTTTTCTTTATGTGGGTATTCCAATGGTTCTTGATCTCATTATCAGTTCTTCCCGGGAGATGAGAAGCAATCTTGGACCATCTGCATAAGGGAAAAAAAAGAAGGACATCAGTAATTAGTAAAGGAACCCCAATTTTTTAAAATAAAAAAAGGACATCATAAGGTCCATGAAAAGTACTAGGGAGTATTTACAAAGGAAAAAGAACTTTATGTTTACTAGAAACTAGAAAAGTATATTTTACTATGTCATGGAAGTTACAAAATCAGAAAATTTGCCCATAAGACAAACTTGGCCCTCGTTTCTATATTAATGATTCCCATTTACAGTCAACTTGTAAGAACTGCAATTATAAACAGTTTCTTTTCTTTTTAAAATAATTCTAAGGAAGAAAACAGCAAAGAAAAAGACTTGGTCTGCAATTTTTACACGTCTTCTCTCGTCTCTTCCTTAGGTGTGTGATGATATTATGGGACCATGTCTTTATTTTTCTTACAAGAATAAACAAATTACCACTTGAGGGCATGCATTATAGAAATGATAACTTGGATTTAGATATTGCTTTTTATATGATTGAGAGATCTAAATTTATTATTATTTAAATATTTTTCTTAAATAAACATCTGAGACGAGTACTGTACCAGTTAATTAAAAAAATGTTCATTAAGGAATAGCTAAGCATGCAGAACAGGGGAAACAGAGTGGGTGAGGAAAATACCTGTTGCCAAGTTGAGCATGGAGATCAATGACCATTTTCTCTTCATATTCTGATAGAAGGCCTCTCTTTAGGTCTGGCCTCAGGTAGTTTGTCCATCTCAGCCTGCAACTTTTGCCACACCTTAACAGCCCTGCATGAAGGAACAAACAAATTTGCTAAGTCACCATAGTGATCACTTTCTTCTTCTGAGAGTTTGAATTAAAAATGCAAATGAACTCGAGGCTCTACACCACTCAACAACCCTTTCCAGATAATGATGTTAAAGAAAAACAACACAACCCTTGATACTTCTTCCTTCCTTGCAATTAAAATGCTTAAAAGATATTCACAAATTCATGTTTCAAAAGATGAAAACAACATCTCTACGAGTCTGTTTGGATATCATCTAAAATGAGCTTTTAAGATTTATTTTTTTTCTGAAAAAAAGAATTTTTTTATAAAAAAGTTCTGAAAAAATTCTTCTGGACTTGTATCGAAACATGTTGTAAGATGGTTTTTTAATGCTTGCTTTCATTGTCTTTGAATGGGAACAAAGACCGAAATGCAAAAATTAATGAACCATTTTAAGATTATCATAGCCAAATTGCTATAGAAGCATTCGACTAGTCCCATTAAGGAAATGAGTGGCTTCAATCATAATCTAAGACATGCACCAAGAGAAGGAGCAATGAAAGGAGACCTGCTAGTTTAGGGACAGCCCTCCAGCAACATTGGCCATTAGTGAGGATGAAATTGATGAGTTTCTTATCCTCCTCTGCAGTCCATGGACCCTTCTTCAACCCCACTTTGTCACAGCAAGGTTGCCTTCCCATTTTCTGTTTTGCAACAAAACACAAATGCCAACAAAATCTACTTGGAATTGGAATTGATCCTCCACAACTGGAGGCCTCAAATTAATTTTGATATAGAGATATAGAGAGAGGCAGAGGGAGACTTAGAGTTCCTAAGAATATGCACATAACAAGGTGGGATAGAGCACCACCACCTACTTATTTATATATAAAATTCAACTCCAAAGTCCTCTAACCCCACTACCTCAATTTCTCTCTTATTTATTTTTATCCGTTTATTTCACTCAATTTAGTTTTCTTTGCTGGTATTTTCTGATTTTTTAATTATTAGTGGGCAATGACACGTGTTGCTCAGGGAGGCGACACGGTCCACACGTGCTACGTCTGCGTCAGAAAACGCCACATCATCGAACTCCTTTGCTTGGTTTCGAAGCGTGAGATACTCCACTAACTCAATCTTCCCCAAAACAGTATATACTGCAAATAAATGTAAAATCCCAAAAATAATTGCACTCTTTTCCCTATTCTTCTTCTGTTGACATTTTCATTTATACTGCTATATATGATTATGACCAAGACAACTACAAAATCTACGCTACTCCTCATAAGTACAAGGGTTCACACGGTTGTGAAAACTGAAACTGGTTATGTAAAAAACCTTTATTTTTTATTTTTTATTTTACACAAGCAATGTAAAAGCAATAAAGTGAGTTCACCTCTTCAACAACTATACTTTAGTAACTTTAGTTTCATATGTTACGTTGGTTCAAAGTTGGCAGTCAAGAGACTTGTATTGGTCGACTCAGAATTTTGAATATTTTAGTCAAGTTTCATATGTTTAAATACGTCAATAAGAAACTAATATAAACTAAAAGTTAATTTAAGAGGTTGTTACCTATCAATTGTATCTTTTTTCTTCTTTTTTTAATGAGATAAAAGGGAGAAATAAACTTGCGTAAATACAGAGACTTAATTTTTTTAATAGGAGTCCTTTTTGTTTTAATATGGAATTTTCAAAACATTGCCTTATTCTAGACCTTACTAGTTTACCACTTGGAAAAATAAATAAATAAAAAGGAGTAGCCACCGGTCTAATTAAGCATCTTTACATAATAGAATCAAGAAAGGTGTATTTGTATATAAGATCATACTTTTTTAGCCTTGGCCATTAAATAACCAAAATTATATAAACAATTTTCGAATTCTGGATGGAGTTGAACACGAGATGATTTACTAGCTATATATATATATATATAT